CACTATTTACATTGTTCGGACTCTTCTCCTTATCTTTGTTGTCATATTCACGACATTTCGGTCGTTGTACGTTTCGGCCTTCTTCGGGATCTGTCTGTATTTCTGAGATGAAGTATTTTAACTATTTACACTATTTACATTTCTCGGACTGTTGTTCTCATCTTTACTGTTACTGTGATTCTGTCGGGACGACGTTTCAACGCTTTTTATGCGTTGTTTACGCTCTTTAATGCAATTTTATGTCTCCTATATTTACTTCAGGATCTTTGTTGTCTATATTTATTTCGAGATTCGAGGTACTATAATTTTTAACTATTTATTTACTTTCTCGGATTTACTCATTTTACTGTTCATTCACGACTTTCCGCCGTTGTCCTCATTCTTCTTGTCTATTTTATGTCATAATTATTTATACTTTTATTGTTCAGACTCTTCCTCATCCTTTTGTCCACCTCTTCCCCTTTTTTTGCCATGTGTCCCCAGGATATATGGGCCAGTGGATAAAAGCGTCGGTTAAAGTAATCCAGTGACTTGACCCAAAGAGTTGTGAGTTAAATAACTGGCCACAACAGAGATGAGTTACTAAATGGAACTAACTGAAAATGAGATATCCGGAGGCATGGCACGTGGAACTAGAAGAATCTACCCCTCTTGAACGAAATAAAGTGCTTTGTTTGAAATTTTAATCACATGAAGAAGCTCGGAGCGTACAACGTTCGAAACATCTTACTTATTATAAAACGCAGATTGTGTGTGTGTGTGTGTGTGTGTGTGTGTGTGTGTGTGTGTGTGTGTGTGTGTGTGTGATCGTTTATATATTGGATCGGATTTCCTACATTTTTCAACCGATTTCAACAAAACTTCACAGGACTACGTAAAATTACCTTGCGGTGGTTCTGACTGTGCCAAAAATTGGAAAAACACAATTGTTTTTGCACGAAATCAATTTGAAAACACGACTAAGAGGCATTAATGAAAGGGAGACAACTCATATCGAGTTATACTTATTATAAAACCCAGATTGGTTGTTTGTGTATGTGTGTGTTCGTTTATATATGGGATCGGATTTCCCACGTTTTTCAACCGATTTCAACAAAACTTCACTTTTTTTTGGCAGGTAGTGTTTCTTATTGTCTTGCACACTTTTTTCTTTTATTTTTACATTCAGAATGCTTTGAAAATTCCATTTACAAGACAATTGTTTATAATAAAATTCTATTCAATCGGTAGACTCATAACGATTGAAAACAATGTTTTTGTTTGAGTTTGGGTTTGACCAATTCGTAAAAAAAAAACCGTGTCCGTCAACCTTAAACAATAATCTTTGTCAATTTTATTTTTCAGTCTTTATGATGGTCGATACTTGATCTATCTCTTACTGTTACATCCCCGGGCAACGCCGGGCTCTACTGCTAGTCGTTAATATTTCAACAAAGATGTGGAAAACTGTCCGAACAATGTAAACAGTGTAAATAATTTTATGACTCTATTTATATTATTCGGATTATTGTCCTCATCTTTGTCGCCATATTTATTACAACATTTCGGCCGTTGTACTCTCCGGCCTTCTTCAGGTGGTTGCAATGTCGAACTGAACACCTTATTTCGCTCACTGTGATAGACTGTTCTAGTTCCACGTGCCATGTTTAATGGATGTCAGTTATCAATTATCTCCTGCTAATTCCCCTCTCCAAGTTCTCCACTGCCTTAACCGGGTATTGAACTCACACTCTTTGGGTCCTGTCACTGGATCTAACTAACGCCTTTATCCAAACATGGCACAGTGGGTAAAGGGGTTGGTTATATTATACTACGAACATGAACCCAATTAAAAAAATAATTTTTAAATACATGAAAAAAAAATATTTTCTTAAAAAAGAAACACGTATAAATGTATGCAATCAGTTTTTTTTATGATTAAAAAGAAATAGAAATCTGTAATCTTTCGCAAATATCAGCGAAACACTCTGTCATTGATTGATGGATTCGTTTTTTCCAGCTTATCAACTTTTTGCAGGTTATTTAAAGCCAGAAAATATTTTTAAATTGTATTTGTTTTATTTTGGAGATAATAAAGATTTCGAGATACAATATGTAATTGTGGATTCATATGGAATCGGAATTTGATAAACAAACAAGAAATTATAATGTAGATATAAACTGGGGGATCAATTCTATATTACAATCGCTACATAAACTGATCCCTTACTTTGTGACCACAGTAGGTTATATACACGAATAATCCAGAGAATGTAAATAAATTTAAAAAATAAACCCACGTAGTAATTAGTATTTCATTGATTGATACGATTATCTACAGCTTATCAACACTTTGCAGGTTATTTAAAGCCAGAGAATATTTTTAGATTGTAAGAATATTTTTTTTTTATTTTGGAGATAATAATCGATTAGTGATAAAAGTCATACTAATTAACACAGGGGATTTGCGATTAAGTATATATGACGTAGACAATTTTGAACTCAGCTCTCCAATTAATAATCCCGAGCCAGTATCCATTGCGCCGCTTGCACATCCATGCTTACATCACCTGGTACTCCTAAACGGTCACCCATCTTGTTTTTGACTCGACTTGACGTTGCTTAACCTATTTGATCACGGTGGAGCTGATTTTTCAACGTGATATCCCCGTAAGCCACGGTACTCGCATAGAAATGTTAATAATTTTTTAATATCATAAAATTTAATTCCATAAAATGCGTTGACAGGGATGGTGGCCCGAGTGAGGGGCGAGACCTGTTTGTGCTTAGAATATTTGATCTGCTTATCAAATAGATATATTTCTTTCAATGTTTTAAAGTTTTAAATAAATCACAATACGCACACACACAGATATACAGACGGACGTGGGTCGCTGCGAGAGTAATGCCTATCATTTTATTATTTTGGACAACAGCGTCTGAAATGATTACATTTTTTTTTGCATATGGTAGCTGGCAAAATGGCGTCTGACATGAAAGCGTGTATGTTGAAGATATTTATAATTGAATGAAAAATGCAATCATTGATAGTCACTGATGCGTGCTGAAGATTTGTGGAAGCCAAACAAGGGATCTGAGCAATGCAGTTGTCGCAAAGAAAGTTGCAGGTGAAAGACCAATTTCAAAGCGTCTCTTACTCATCTGTGGAGAAAGTGAAAGTATATATATATATATATATATATATATATATATATATATATATATATATATATGAAGAAACCTTGTTTAGGTCAGACTTGCTTTAGACTGATTCAGTCGTGTAGTGCGTTGTTAATTCAAGCAAAACACATCGATGCTTTATAAAAAGCAAATCTTACTCAGACACTCACAGCACTCATACCTGCGCGTTATATCAGGAAGAATTCAACTTTCCTTGGTCGACAACGCTTTCTCGTGTGAAGCGGAACTCAGTTTCGAATCCTTCCCTTGAGAGCAGTTTTTTTTTCCTTTAAAAAGATTTCTCCAATATTCTGGCCGCTAAAAGAAAAAGGAATAAATATACTTTTTAATAAAGAAGAAGAAGAAGAAGAAGAAGAAGAAGGAAGAAGAAGAAGAAGAAGAAGAAAAATACGAGGGAAAAGAAAAAAGAAAAAGAAATTGGAGAAAGAGGAGGAGAAGGAGTATAAATGTAGAAGAATAAGAAAAATACGGTGGGGGAAAGAAAAGAAAACGAAATAGGAGGAGGAGGATAAAAAGTAGTAGAAGAAAAAATACGAGGGGGAAGAGAAAAGAAAAAATAAGAAGAGGAGAAGGGGGATAAAAGTAGAAGAAGAAGAAAAAATACGAGGTGGGGAAGAGAAAAGAAAAAATAGGAGGAGGAGGAAAATAATAAGAAGAAATAGATGAGGAAATAGATAAAGAGAAGGAGAATGAGGAAAAGAAGAAGGAAAGGAAAGGAAAAAGGTGGAGAAGAAGAAGCAGGGAAAGAAAAATGCGAAGAAATAGAAGAACATATAAGACGAAGAGAGGGAGAAAAAGAATAACAATATGAAGAAGAAGAAAAAATAGGAGGAGGGGGATAAAAAGTAGTAGAAGAAGGAAAATAGAAGGAGAAAGAGAAAAGAAGAAATAGAATGAGTAGGAGGAAATAATAATAAGAAGAAATAGAAGATGAAGATGAAGAATAAGGAGGATGAGGAAGGGGAGAAGAAGAAACACAAAAAACAGAAGGAGGAGAAAGGAGGAGGAGTTTCGAATATCAGACGTAATTTCTTTTATTTCTCCTATCTTGACTTTCCTTAAGTTACTTTTCACATTCTGTCCTCATCCAACTCACCGTCTCTTCGTCTTACTTTCGCTTCACACCCTCCCATTTAATTCATAACACCTTTTTCAGATACTTTTTTCACCTTCTGAACCGCTAAAACTTCCGCCACGCGTATCCCTCGCCCACTACCTTTCCAATTCGCTCACCCCTTCGACACGCCCACTTATTTCTCGCTCGAACAGAACTGCTGACAAATAAGTACATTAACGAGATGGAAAAGCTTTCATATTGAAAAGATTTATTCAAATGTCCGACCGGCGTCGTCAGAGGGCGCGAGTTGCCACATGGGAGCGGCGCGCAATCAGCGGCCATCTTGGTTGCATTAGTTGTGGCGGGAAATGAGTCAACGGAACTGGTCAGAGGATGGGTAGGCTAAGACAGCTTCCACGCGCAAACAGTGAGACCTATCAACTAGCGTTGATGCCCGCCATTACTGTAGACTGCTTAATCTCTTTGTGTGAAGGGCAGTTAGACAAACAAGTAATCGTCATGAAAAATGTAAAAGCCAATTCAAACCCTTCAGTCATTTCATTAATACAGAACGGCTTCCCTACCAAATATGTAAACGAATCATTTGTGAAGCCTTTCTAGCTAAGTTATACACCATTAGATCCAATCATTAAGATAATACCTATATCAACTGAACCAGGAATCTCCAACGTGTCCACAAACATAAAGACACGCGTGCGCGCATACACACACACACAGACACATACACAAACAGAAATTATCTATGTATATATCTATCTATCTCCGGAAGTCTATTCATATCTATCTATCTATCTATCTATCTATCTATCTATCTATCTATCTATCTATCTATCTATCTCAGTATTTTATCAATCTGTCGCAGTCTATTCATATCTATCTATCTATCTATCTATCTATCTATCGCAGTATATTTCTGTCTATCTATCTATCTATCTATCTATCTATCTATCTATCTATCGCAGTCTATTCATATCTATCTATCCATCTATCTATATATCTCAGTCTGGTCAATATCTATCTATCTATCTCTCGCAGTCTATTCATATCTATCTATCTATCTATCTATCTATCTCAGTCTATTTTATCAACCTATCGCAGTCTATTCATATCTATCTATCTATCTATCTATCTATCTATCTATCTATCTATCTATCGCAGGCTATTCATACCTATCCATCTATCTATCTATCTATCTATCTCTATCTCTGCTCATCTGCTCATATCTATCTATCTATCTATCTATCTATCTATCTATCTATCTATCTATCGCAGTCTATTCATATCTATCTATGTATCTATCTCAGTCTGTTCATATCTATCTCTCAAAGTTTATTCATATCTATCTATCTATCTATCTATCTATCTATCTATCTATCTATCTAACAAATTATATATCTAAAAGTCGCCAGTTTTCCTTCTACGTGCACCTAGGACTAGCTAGCCACTCCCTGTCGCAGACACATTCTCAGACACATCTGTGATTGTTTATCACTAACAGAGTCTACCTGTGGTTTATACTGTTACTATGTTGAGGAGACATTAGTTCCAGGTTCCAGGAGAGAGAATTTAATTTGCATAATCTGCAGTTGGAATAAGACAAGTGTGATCAGACCCTCGATCACCGTGACATGACTTGGAACAAGGACAACCCTCAACGGGTTCAAAACAGTTTCGTCTATCCAGATACATTCGCAAGGCTTAATACATGGTATGATTTTTAGGCACACTCCAAATGTGTTGCACCCGTGGGATATAAAGTTACCTTCCTCACATAATGAGTGTCTCATGGTCGGAAAGCGAACACTCTAAATGCTCTGACACGCGCGAATGTATATATATATATATCTATCCAGAGATAGACTGTTTCGCTGTATCTCATTTTATCCGTGTGCCTAGACATCCGATTGCCTCAAGCCAGGATCGGAACCTGACTGATATGGCATCAGTCGAGAGATTTTTCCCGTAAGCTATCTGCTTCCGTAACAGCAAAATTGTCCTAATGGTGTAACAGCAAAATTGTCCAATTGCTAGATTAAGATCTGAAGCGTTGTATCTTAGAAATGATTAAAGATATCTTACTGGAGTTTTCCGAGTGTTTTATAACACTGTTGGACTGTATATTGAACATATAAAAATTTAGTTATAAGATGGAAAGGATGATCCCTCTTGATGTTGTGACATCCTGATCCAGTTTTTCTCTCTACTCTGCCCGTTTTTTAAAACTTGTTCACCGTCCTCTTGATGGCTCTCGAATGGACATTGAAGATGGAAGCTAGAGTATGAATGTTGGTACCATAACTGAAAGCCTGAAAGATCTTGTTTTTTCCTTTCTGCATTGTGAACGTTGGAAAACATAGTAGGGTAGGCACAAAATGATTTTAACACGTTCCTTTTTATGACACGTAGCGCACCAGGTCTCTGAATTCGGCACTTCAAAATATGTGATTGGTTCTGCACTAAGCCTTCACCACTATAATCAAATCATATGTACTGATGTCTGGACTGTCAGTTCCTAGAACTGAGCTGCTTGACCCCTCATACGTCGAATACGACGGCAGAGTCCAACATATAGAGAACTATATATATATATATATATATATATATATATATATATATATATTAAAGACATTTTTTTTATGTTTAACGTTCTTCTTTATAGATACAAGTATTTAAGTAAATGCTCTGTTTATAATAAACAGTATTAAATTACCGGTCTGAATGTCCGAGAAATTTTCATAGAAAATATTCGTCCTTTGACAGGATTCGAACCTACATCCTATACAGAACCGTCATTTACGCTGACGTGCCTTACCGTGTTTATATTGTAATACCGGTATAGGCAAATGTTATATATATATATATATGTTTATTATAAATATATATATATATATATTTATAGCATTAAATACTTTCTTAATGTGTATATAGTAAATTAAAAAATCTTTTATAAAGAAGAACGTTAAACAATAAAACAAACCATTTGTCAAAAAAATGTCTTGGAAACTGTAAATGTTTATTGATAGATTCTGGTTTCAGTTCCACATACACACGCAGAAAAAAAGAAAATTACAGGATTTTAAAATTAAATAAATATAAACTAGGGTTAAATAAAGACTTGGGTATTTTAAATCTTTATAAATATTTCAATAGTTAAATATTTTTTTAGATATAGTTAAAAAAAAAATTATTTATTTTTTTATTTTTTTTATTTTATTTTTTTAATTTAATTTTTTTAATTTTATTTTTTTTAATTGTCATCAGACAATATGAAAGGAAATAAATACACAAAAACTTGTTTATATTATTTATTGAAACATGCATCAATATATATATATATATATATATATATATATATATATATATATATATATATATATATTAAGACATGTCTCATTTAATCATTTAAACAAGTTTTATCTATTTATGTTCAATTTGATCCGCTCATATCCACGGGCAGTTTTCTTAGTATCCATATTAAAGGAAGAGTGAAAATTACCGTATTGATACATATCCATTTATTCCGAGTAATTACCTTGAATAATGTAGTTTCAGAATATATATGATTATAGGGGGGCGTCTATCTCGAAAACTCTATAAAGTATCATATGTAGTTTTAGTTATGTCCAAAAGATTTTATGTCGATTCTTTTCTCTTTTAAATATACACTTTTCTCTCATTGGAACAACTATAATCTCTCCTTTATCTCTCTCTCTTCTCTCTCTCTCTCTCTCTCTCTATATATATATATATATATATATATATATATATATATATATATCAACAGAGGCGACAGTCTGTTTTTCATGCTATATGCAATTGTCAGACTGTCGCCTCTAAGTGTTGATTTCTATGTTCACTTTATATTTACACACGCTCTAACTCTGATATTGAGCACTTTATCCCATAAATATAGCACACCTTAAGACTATATTTCTTCATATATATATATATATATATATATATATATATATATATATATATATATATATATATATATTATATATATAAACAGTGACTATTATAGCTATAAACAGTGACTATTATGGCTATATAGCGAGACTCTTCGCTAATGCGAATTGAGTCACACCCGGTCAAAGATAAACACGCTAAAAATCAACTCTCCTCCCTCCCGTGCCCCGATGGCTTAATGATTAGAATCTCCGACTGACACCAGTTCAGTCGGGTTTCGAACCTAGCTGGAGGCAACCGGATGTCTAGCCACACTGATGAGCTGCGAAACCATATCTGAGATAAAAGAGATGATCTTACATGCCGACTGCGCTGATGAGATTTGCGAAAAATATTTATCGCTCTGTAGATTGAAATGCTGAAGTTCCGGGTCTTGCTTTGTACATCTCGAAAGCTTACAGATCTGGCGTACTGATCTTATTCAAAACTTGTAAAGTTACTGTGTCTCCGGCCAATTTTTCTTTTTTTTTTTTAATTGATCCAAATTAAATTTATCCTGTAGAATATTTATATATATGCTCTCGCAAGGGGGAAACGTTGTTACAAAAGCTAAAATGTATAGGAATATTCAAAAATTGGTAATTTTTACTTTTAATTTTAATATCAAATTTTATCATATAATTTAATAATTATTGGTTAGAATAAATTCTTTTTTAATATTACCCCTATTTTAAAGATCTGAATAACTATTAAAACATGACTTCGTTATCAAGCTTTTTGAATTTTCCTATACTTTTTAGCATTTGTAGCAACGTTTTCACCTTGCAAAGGATCGTTAATTAATTTGAAACTTTTAAAACCATTTATTTTATATTCAACATCATCACTTGATAGGACACCGGAGGTATTGAAACAAAAATGGCTATTTTTGTAGTGATTTTATAACATATTTATGAGATATATATATATATATATATATATATATATATATATATATATATATATATATATATATCGCTCTTCGTAATAATTGAGAGCTATGGCGCTTAGATAGGACACATACAATGCATTAAAAATGTCCTTTCCCTGCCATGCGCCGAGAGCCCTTTCTGAATCGTACGCTGATAGCCTGGGGGTAAGAGCCTCTGACTGATGTCAAATCGTTGGAGTTTCGATCCCGGCTTGAAGCAATCGGATGTCTTGTCACATTGATGAGCTGTAATACAGTCTGTCTGTAATTATAATTATATATATATATATATATATATATATATATATATATATATATATATATATATATATATGACGGGGATGGTGAGGTTGAGCTATCTGTCTATTTGTATGGGCAGAGGGAAAGATAAGGGAGGCCGATAGAATTCCTTATTATGTCCATTTGTATTTCTTTGACAGTCGCAGCTGCTTTAACAATGAAACAAAGACTAAAAGCTTCCCTCTTCAGGTGACTCAGAGAAAAGTAACCATTCAGTTGGCACGAATCTTTTTTAGTGTTTAATGACCCAGCAGTTTGTCTCATGTTTGTCAAATGATAGGAGGCACAAAAACTGTCAACATAATTTTATAGCGTATTAGATTAAGAGGAAAAGTGTGTAACTGAGAAGGTTTAGTGCTTCGAAAACATGCATGTCATGCAGATTAGTAAGGAATATGCTCGTTTTGATAGATAGATAGATAGATAGATAGATAGATAGATAGATAACGAATAGACTGATTTAGATGAAAACAGCACGTAGAATACTGGGTGGGCTTGAGTAAATGGATGGTAGAACAGGTTTAGAGAGTGTTAAACAAAGATATGAACACACACACACACACATATATATATATATATATATATATATTGAGAGAGAGAGAGACTAATAGATATAGACACAGACTGATAGATAAGGACACGAATAGATAGATAGATAGATAGATAGATAGATAGATAGATAGATAGAAATGAAGAATCAGACTGAGATAGATAGATAGATAGATAGATAGATAGATAGATACACGCATATGTAAATAAAGACACGAAGAGATAGAAAAACAGATTGATATAGATAGATAGATAGATAGATAATGAATAAACTGATTTAGATAGATAGATAGATAGATAGATAGATAGATAGATAGATAGATAGATAGATAGACAACGAATAGACTGATTTAGATGAAAACATCACGTAGCATTCTGGATGGGCTTGAGAAAATTGATGGCAGACGAGGTTTAGCAATATAGAGATAGACAGAGAGAGATGTGAACGCATACAATATATATATATATATATATATATATATATATATATACAAACATATATATATAATAAAAAGCCTTAAACACTAATATTCCATGGTCATAATATATTCCATTGGAATCGTAAATACGATCCAATTCATCAGACCTACAAATTCTAAAAGAAAACAGAAAAAACAACCCCGGAAATAAAAACAGAATTTATAAAGAGTGTAAGTATGAGGGGTAACATACTAGAGAAGGAGGGAGATTAAACCTTAACAGAGATAATTTTAAGAGAGGTGAGTGGAAGGGGTTTAAGTAAGAGAAATATGAATGTTGTCGGATGTCTAATGCATAAAGATACATTTCGTGGTGACATAAACACACCATAGACAATCTAATGTTAGAATAACAGAGAGGGAAACACGAGCTTGGGGAGAGAGATGGGGCGAAGGAAAGTAAACTTGTATGACATTTACTGAAAGGGCCGCTCTGTAATTGAGAAATTTTGACAAATTTAATATCGACTACAGGTTACAAATCAAATATAAACATATAAAGAATAAATATAACGATTATCTAATCTAGCAAGGACCTATATTTCTATGTTCAAACACACATGCGAATACACACATACACAATAACATACGCACGTATATACATACACATAGGCGTGTAGCCACATACACACATACATATGCCCATGTACACACATATATAAATATATCCATATATATATATATATATATATAGAGAGAGAGAGAGAACGTAGATAGATAACGAATAGACTGATTTAGATAGATAGATAGATAGATAGATAGATAGATAGATAGATAGATAGATAGGCACAAATATATTATAATTCATATACGCCGAGAGAAAGCGTTAAATGTGTGTATAATATATTCATTACCAAGTAACCCTGATAAGAATAAGAAAGGTTGTTATGTCATAATCGATAAAGGATGCTACAAGGCAACCATCGAATTATAACCACAAACAAAATCTCGACACCATTTATTAGTCTTATAAACCTTTTTACATAAGATATATCCCATGATGCATCTCTTTTCATGATCCCGCACAGACACTCAGATATCGCACTATATGCCTGTACGTGGCTTATCTCTTTTCTTTCTGTTCAATTGTACTTAAAATCAAATATAAGCGCCAACTATTTAATCACATAGAAAGACTTGTGAAGACAGAAACAGCATACGCCGATACACGTCATATTTTATTAAGGGAGTCGATGTTTTCGCAATAAAGTGGTATTGATCAAACGATGTTGATAGAATTTTCAGGATATATTTATGCTTGCATGAAGGACATATTGTGTGAACTTTTGTTTAATGTATGATAAAAAATATTAAATTTGTTCGGTGGATGTCAGGTTTTATTATTGAAGCAAATATCGGAAAAAATATTTCTTGCTCAATAAATTTAACAGAAGTAGGTCAATTTCAATTCCTGTTACAACTCTATCAAAAAAAAAATTAACAGGAGTAGATAGGTTCGCCTATCGTCCGGTTCTAACTTCTCCACGGTATTTTGAGCAGGAGTAGAGGTTTATCCTTTGTTTACTACTTACGATTATGTACTTGTTCCTCCTAAAACCTTCATCATCACTATACTTCTAACATCTCCCCCTAAACTCTAAAATATGATTTACCACTTATTGCTTATGTCTTTCCTCAATAAGAGCAGATAGGGTCGCCTATCGCCCGGTTCTGACTTCTCCACGGTATTTTGAACAGGAGTAGGGGTTTATCCCTTGTTTACTACTTACGATTGGGTTTTTTGTTCTTCTTAAACCTTTATCATCGCTATACTTCTAAAATCTCCGCCTAAACTCTGAAATATTTTGTATCTTTTATGTTTTTCCTCAATAAGAGCAGAGAAGATCCCCCATCACCCGGTTCTTACGCCTCCACGGTATTTTCAGCAGGGGTTTATCGCTTGTTTACGACTTACGATCGGGTTTCCTATTTCTTTCTGAAACCTTCATCATCTCTATAGGTCTAACATCTACGCCTACACTCTGAAATTTGATGTCCCATTTATTGCTTATGCTTTTCTTCAATAAGAGCAGATAGGTCGCCTGTCGCCCAGTTCACACTCCTCCCTGGTGATTTGGCCATATTCCATACACCATATTTCGTGTCTCGTAGTGCGTCTTCGATTCCTTTTAAAATCATTTCGTTCTTTTACCCTACAAGTAATCCCTTTCGTCTTAGTGGTATTATCGCCTTGCTTGCGGTAAATTGATTATATATAAATATACATACATATATATTTAATATTACCCAAATATTAATCTATGCCCAGGCCTTTTCCCTATTTCACCTTTCTTAACATAATTACTTTTCTCCCGAACAAACATACAGAACAATATAAAGAAATCAAAAGAAAATGGTTGAATCCGTTAACACAACAATAAAAACAATATCTCCAACCGTGACAGTACTTGACGTAATTTTCAGTTAACAGTATGAAAATAGCGTTCTCTAAATTCTTCCAGGACACTTTGTTTAATAAATTCTTTTCGTTATGCCTTGAGAAAGTCCACATTGGACGAAACGCGTCGGCAACTATTACAGTTTTCCTATTGTCTTTTACATTTATTTATATATATTGTCTTTTTCTACAAATAGAGTGCTGTTCGATAAAAGTGACTCACCTGATTTTTTTTTACTAAATGTTCTCTTCTCCGATGAAACGAAAGTTCAGCTAAATTCAACGGATAAGCGATCTAAAATCTGAAGAAGCTTTGAAAGCTCTTTGATTTTAGCAGTAAGTACTGTCAAGCATCCGTTCAGTGTAATGTTCTGGGGATGCTTTTTTTTTTCATGGAACTGGTTTCTTAAAACCTGTTGAAAAACCCCTCAGGAGCGAGCAGTACAAGAAAATTTTAGAGTCTTGTATGCTCCCTTCTGCTGAAAGGTTGCAAATCGACCACACCAAGATCATTTTTAGGCAGGATAATGCTCCCTGTCACAAATTAAAATTGATGAAGGAATACTTTGATGAGAAGCAGGTCAGTGTTATGACATGGGCGCCCCAATCTCCTGACCTCAACCCCATAGAAAACTTAAGAAGCATTATAAAGTACAGGCTCTCGAGAAAGCAGTTGAGCAACAAAGAGGATTTGATTGTGAATTTCATATCCGAATGGAATGCTTGGAGATGAGATTTACCAGAACCTAATCAAGTCAATGCCAAAAAAGGTTGAAAAGGTTATTCAAAATAAAGGAGGACCCATAGATTATTAAATATTTCGAACTATATTACCTATTATAAATAAATTATACCTCTATTATTCTTTATTTAAAGCTGTTTGGTTATGTTTCTATTGATTACTAGTTGCAGGAAATAAGTGAGTCACTTTTTTTGCATAGAGTTTTTCCCTAAATCTCATTTATATCCAAAATTATAATTATCAATAGAGTGAGTAAACTTTTCTTACTAGGTGGCCGGGAAGGGGTCTTTATATTAGAAAGACTAAAAATTAGTCTGACCCCAAAAACAATAGGCGAAATAATTTTTAAGTAAAAAAAATCAGGTGGGTCACTTTTATCGAACAGCATTGTATATATAACATTTGTTTCCTAACTATCCAAGTAAATATTTTGCCATTCATTTACACAAGCTGGGTGGCCAGTTTATTTGCTATTTCCCTTGGTGTCTTATGCCTTAAATATGCCTTGTGAATATCAAATTCTCCAAGCTTTTTTTCCTTGCTATTTGCCCCATGGATTTCCACTGTCTTCCTGATGTTAAGTAGTAACGTTTTTCCCTATTTCTGACGGGCTTCGTCCGTGTTCAGCTCGAAGTCCTTCTTCAGGATATCTCTGTCACCTCAAGTCTCCATTTCATCTGTGTGGGAATTTTCCAGCATTCTCCACCTGATAGAGAGATTGATATTATTAACCAATTCGCCACTTTGTTTCTCGTGAAATTTTCGTCTTTCTTGATATTCTTTTTGGCTTTTGGAAGGCATGTTCTTCATGGAAGTATGTCGCTGTAAGCCCCGCCTGTGGGTAATCCCGTGACCACACAATGTTGCAGTCTGTGCCTATTCCCAGCCCGCATATGTTACATTAGACGACCGGCTGCTACTACTATTCTTGGTCTTTACTTTATCATCTTGCACATTTACCTTTTCTGTGCATCGAATTCTGTTGCTATATCTGGTCCTGTATTCATCTCGAGGTCCTTGACATAATCCAAACAAGGAACTGTAATGTAATCGATCCTAATTTGGCACCTGGACGTTAATTTTCACCGGTGTGGCGTGGCTTCCCTGTGTTTTAAAAATATTTCCATGGCAACAGCTGTGACGAGCTTTTTTTTGTTTACATACTGTCTGACTATATTAATTTAAGCGTGCGACAAGGTTGACATCACCCGTGCAACTAGATCGGCCCACCACTTCTACTCCAACAGTTTCTTTCCTCGTACTTCCCACCTGTAGTACTCCCTTCCCTTTATCTGCTTTCATGATATCTACAATTGTCGGAAAATTTAAATGCAACATCAATCGTCATCTTCTATCTTCTTAAATCACGTTCATCTATTGTCCTTTCCTCAATCCTCCCTATGCTCAATTATTTTTTTTTCACTTTTACTCCTTGTAGCTCCCTGGGTCCTAATGGTACTTCCGCCTTGCTTGGGGTGAAATAGTTAAACAAAAAATCTTTCGATATCCCAATACGTCTTCGGATTTATTTACCACATATTCTGCCCTCTATTAAAAAACTTATCAGGTAAACAAGTTTTCCGAAACTTCTAATAATACAGCCTGTGTAGGTTTTTCGTTTGTTAATTCCCAAGCGATGGTCTAGGATTATAGGAAATATATGTTACTACTGCAGGCTATATTAGCTGAAGCACATTTTAAGGCCATAAACCCAATATCACATCCTTCTCTCATGAAGTGGTTGTTAAAAATATAGTGTTATGTCGTGGTTTCACAGTGGAGGCTTGTATTTGTACTAAGTCGGTCCTAAAAGGAATTTTATACCCAGTGAGTATGATTTCGACAAGAAAGCCCCACCCAACAAGATTCCTCGGAAGGGTAAGTCTCGCTTCTTTGTTTATTCCTCTATCGTTGAAAAAGTACACAGACATGTTTGAAAATTCAAACAATAAAATTTATCTCTCCATGCTTCAGTCAACTCAAAAGCTTTATATTTTATTAATATAACTTCAAATATATCTTCCGCCATACTACAAAATTAAACACATATCACCGCCTCTTGCAATAATGCCAACACAAACATATATATGTACAAAAATGAGTATGATATTGTTATGGAGTGGTTTCACAGTGGAGGCTTGTATATGTACAAAGTCGGTCGTAAAATAGGTTCGACGTACAAAACTTGATATAATAGGTAATGACGCAGAGAAATCTAGTTGTCGTCGCTGATACTTTAGTAGCCGACTAACGGTCGTCCGGCGTCGACTGACTGACCAACTCACTGAGCGACTCCCTCGTTACTCTTACTACTCCAACTTATTATAGGTGGGAGAGTCTATGAACTATAGAATAGGTGTGTTCCACTATAACATATAGTAAGGTTACTTTTGAAATGGTCGCAATGTACGTATAGTTGTTCTTTAATTGAACCCTGGGAGTCGACTAAGCGGCAAACATCTGAGCACATGCATCGAACTGTTAAAGCAATACGAAGAATGTAATAATAGGGGGAAATAATACAGCAATGTAACACGGAGTGTCACGAAAAAATCAAGCCATTTTCTTTTAAATTGCTATTGTAGCGACATCAGTTAGTTGAAATCTTATTAAATGAAAAACAACTCGACCTGTCACAAAAAGTATTCGGACATTTATTTTACCCCGA